TAATTTAATGTATTTAAATATATAAATGATACATTTAAATATTTAAATACATTTATAAATACATTTAAATATATTTAAAAAGTAAACGTTTTCTGAGCTCTGTCTATACTTCACAAAATACAAAGGACCTGAACAATTACCACAAACTCGCATTTACGAAATCCAATGTCTATGAAAGCTGATACAGCACACCTAAGAAAGGAACTGAGTTCTTTCCACAAAGTCTTGTTCTCGAATCTCTTTATCTTTTTAACCCAATATTGTAGACCTTTGATATTTCAACTATGAATTCTGATAGATCAAAAAGTCTAAGTTTAAAATATCAAAGATTGCGATGATATAGGCATTAAAAATTTAAGTTTTTGGCCAAAACTCAGTTCCCTATTTGACTATTATTTGATCGATCTATTAATTGAATTCATAGAAATTTCAAAAGCGACGACATCAGATAACAAGAAAGATATAAGGCTTGGAAAATTAGAGTTTGTGGCAAGCTTTCAACTCCTAAGTTTAGTTTATGAATTATCCATATCTAACTTTTATAATAAACATAGTAACGAAATATTGCTATGTCACTCTCCACTAAACCCAATTCTATTACTTCGGTCAGATTACTGCAAAACCCTGCAGAACACACCGAAAACTTAGTAGAGGGTGATGTGTGTGGTTTTCTTTCTTTTCCAATTTATTTTAGCGATCACTGTATATATTCTCACCTATTGAAATCATGCCTAGTCCAGTGTAGAGTAGGATACCCTGTTTAACCTACACATAATATCAATATAATACAGGGGTATTCATTATACATACAGTGTAGAGTAGGATACCCTGTTTAACCTACTCATAATATCAATATTATACAGGGGTATTCATTATACATACAGTGTAGAGTAGGATACCCTGTTTAACCTACTCATAATATGAATATTATACAGGGGTATTCATTATACATACAGTGTAGAGTAGGATACCCTGTTTAACCTACTCATAATATCAATATAACAAAGTTATTTTATTTGCAACTCGTGTATGTGAAGTAAAGGAGAAACATCTCTTGAGAAGAAACCTCAACATATTTATTTGCAACTCGTTTATGTGAAGTAAAGGAGATATCAACCAAATCAACTCGATCCTTTTGTTTTCTAAAAGATATGTTGATTTTTCTAGCTTTTAAGATAATCAATTAAGCATGTAATGTATATATACAAGTCTCTTTCAACTCATGCAAGACTGTATAATCAAATAATAAATAATTAATAAATATTTATGCCTGCTCTGGTGGGGGGTCTTGAGGAGTTGCTCCGGATACACCCTAAAATAATTATCAATTGGTTTAGTTGCTCCAGATACACCCTAAAATAGTAATCAGTTGGTTTAGTAGCTCCGGATACACCCTAAAATAGTTATCAGTTGGTTTATTTGCTCCAGATACACCGTAATATAGTTATCAGTTGGTTCAATTTCTCTGGATTCACCCTGAAATTGTTATCAGTTGGTTTAGTTGCTCCAGATACACCTTAAAATAGTTATCAGTTGGTTTAGTTGCTTCAGATACACCCTAAAATAGTTATCAGTTGGTTTAGTTTCTCCGGATACACCCTAAAATAGTTATTAGTTGATTTATTTGCTCCAGATACACCCTAAAATAGTTATCAGTTGGTTTAGTTGCTCCAGATAAACCCTGAAATAGCTATCAGTTGGTTTAGTTGCTCCGGATACACCTTAAAATAGTTATCAGTTGGATTAGTTGCTCCAGATACACCCTAAAATAGTTATCAGTTGGTTTACATGCTCCAGATACACCATAAAATAGTTATTAGTTGGTTTAGTTGCTCCGGATACACCCTAAAATAGTTATCAGTTGGTTTAGTTTCTCTGGATACACCCTAAAATAGTTATCAGTTGGTTTAGTTGCTCCGGATACACCCTAAAATAGTTATCAGTTGGTTTAGTTGCTCCAGATACACCCTAAAAAAGTTATCAGTTGGTTTAGTTTCTCCAGATACACTCTAAAATAGTTATCAGTTGATTTAGTTGCTCCCTATACACACTAAAATAGTTATCATTTGGTTTAGTTGCTCCAGATACACCCTGAAATAGTTATCAGTTGGTTTAGTTGCTCCGGATACACCTTAAAATAGTTATCAGTTGGTTTAGTTTCTCAGGATACATCCTAAAATAGTTATCAGTTGGTTTAGTTTCTCCGGATTCACCCTAAAATAGTAATCAGTTGGTTTAGTTGCTCCGGGTTCACCATGGAATAGTTATCAGTTGCATGGTTCAGTTGCTCCGGGTACACTTACATCCTAAAATTTTAATCAGTTGGTCTAGTTCCTCCAGGGTACACCCTGAAATACTGATCAATTGGATAAGTTGCTCCGATACTAGAAGTTTTATGTTTTTACTGTTTTGAGTGGGATACCACTAAATCTTCATATTTCATATTTTTATTTAACTACAAAGCACAGGATAATACAAATAAAAATCGCAATTTACTAAGTAGTTTGGTCCCGCCTAACCAGAGTAGGTTGTTTTAATAGGTTTGCCCATTATAAGCGAATGAGAATTGTAAATAAATACAGTGTACACTGTAAACATAACAATGATGATAAATCAGGAAAAAAGTAATGAGGTGGTGAAGAAGTATACAGGAAAGAGAGGGTACTTTAAGCGTAAGGGTTATGAACTACAATAAGATAGTAAAGACTAAGTTTATCCACATGAAACACAGGTTTTTTTACAGTTAACAAAATAAATCAAATCAAATTATATATTTAGCCATAAAATACATGTATAGATGGATATTTATAATTAACATTAAAATTAGTTGAAATTACAGTTTATGGCAGGGAGACAGAACTAGCCGAAACTGTTTTCTGTTTACAATCAGTCTTTAATAACAAAATTTAACTTGAAAAGTTTCACAAAAAATAGATTTGGAGTTCCTGGCAGAGAAAGGTGAGGGTTCCTTTAAGTAGTCTGGTGGCTAAAAATTAGTGTTTAAAATAAAAGATACGATTCCTGGCTGAACAGATCCACAGGCTGGTCAAGCGAGAAACAAAGCTATAATTGAGAATTAATATCTAATAAATTAATAACTTGCATAACTATCTAAATAGTTCTTGGCGACTTCTCTTTTAAACGATTTTCCAGATTTATTTTCTTTAAGCTCTAATTCAATCGAATTCCATAATTTTGGAGTTAAAGCAGAGGGAAAACATAGCGTATATGCTAATGAGCTATACACCTAGTTTATATGCACGCACCCCGGACCCTTTAGTAAAAGTAATTTCAACCTAAAGTCTGACCGTGTCAACCTTGTTGCACCGACTAGTCCTATTAAGTTTCTGCTTTATTTACCCAATGTCCGGGCGATACAGTACAAACTGGGACCGGAAAGGTTGACCCGGCTCGGAAATTCAAATGTACCATGGCTGCCCGTGTATGTATCATCAAGATTTAGAGGTTCTAAACTGAAAAATATTTGATTTTGATCACGAAATAATGGACATTGCACTAGTTGCCATTACTTTTTAAGTAAATATATTGTACCTGAACCGACTGAATGGGAGCTTGGTTCAGTTGAAGGATGGTTTCAGGGTTAGTTGTGCTTCCGGCGTTCTACCAAAAAATATATAATTGGAATTCTAAATGAACATTATCAAATCAATATAGATCATTTCTTTGGCGCAGGAATTCAATCATAACACATCACAGTTTATAAAATACTATTTTCCGCAGCAGGCGGCCAGGTGCTGTCTTATCATAGCCCAACTCTAAGGCTTATTGAACAATGTTAAATTAATTAAGAAAATAAAAACAGAAACGTTTTTTCAATTCTGTTCAAATTATGTACAATTCAAGTTTGATATTTAAATATGATCCGAACTTAAACCTTTTCAAACTGACGTCTCCGGGGGGGGGGGG